AAAGGTGACCTGGAACCATAAGCTATAGCACCCCAAACCATAACTCCAACAGTGTGATGAACATGTCTTTCAACAAAAAACTGTGGATTCCTCCTTTCACCACGTCGCCTTCTAACCCTGGCACGACCATCGTGTATGCCTAAACAAAATCGAGACTCGTCGCTAAAGACAATACTGTTGCATTCCTGATCCCAGAGTGACCGTTGTCTGCACCACTCAAGGCGATTACGTCGGTGTTCTCGAGTTAAAGGGAGGACCCAGTGTGGCCGGTATGAAAACAAGCCAAAACTTCTCATTCGTAGGTAAACACTTCGCATGCCAATAGGTCTTCCGTGTTCTGCAAATCATTCATTTGCAATGGACCTGGTAGTGGAGAAACGGTCCCTTAAAGCCAATAATCTTAGGCGGCGATCTTCACGGTCTGTTGTTCTACGGCGGCGTCCAGTGCCCCTTGCTCTTTGCGTACGGCCTTCTCGAAGCCATGCCTGACAACACCTAACCACAGTGACTACTCTTGTTTGCACTCTAACTGCAATTGCTCGAAAAGAAAGTCCAGCTTCCCGAAGTCCCACTATATGGCCCCTATCAAACTCACTAAGTTGACGAAATCGTACAGGGTCTCCGCACTTGTTATTTACAGTAAGATAAATACATTCACCAACTTTTATTAAAATAAAACCATTTAAACTGGATGTTCGGATTTATATGTCACTTAGTATAGGTATGACGTGTACAGGAGCCCAGCAACCCACAGCCCTTGAACGATCATTTGATAAGGTACAGTGTCATTTTGGCCATAGCCGTTGAGTATTGAATATGCTCAGAGTCAGAAGAGATTTCCTGGTTCCCGACGATGTAATTGATCTTTGGATTGTTTTTTCCAACGTCTACAGCACAACACTTCTCTAAGTTGAGGGACGGCAGCCATCTTCTGGTTCATTCATAAAGGTTGTCCATGTCGCGTTGAAGGATGTTACCATTGGCACGGAGGATATTGTATATCTTTGAGTCGTCCGCATAGAGAAGAAACACCAAAGGTCCAGGAGGGGACAAGAGAAGCGTCACTCCTTTTTAGGGTCATTGCTGAAATATTGTCACCACCTGGAGCAGTACAGCAATCCAGAAATCCAGATTGATGAGATGATCTTGAATCAGGGAAGAATTCAGTTTGACACAGGCTGGCATGTGGTCGAAGATAGGTATAAGAAGATGTACCATCGCTTTCCGGAGAAAGGTCTTCAGCGAAGCGCTGGCCAATTCTTCTGCTGACGACGCGGCATCCCTGCAGATGTGTCCATCTAAACGTGTACCTTGGGTGTAGACACTTTCAAGTTTAGCGAAGATCGAACACGTCTGAATAGCTTTTTTTCTGTTTTTCAGCTTATTTTCAAATTGACATCTCGGAACTTGCAGAGTTATCAATACAAAAGAAAATGCTGTTAAGTAGATTGACCCTTTACGCGTCTCGCTGTATGTCTACTTATCTAGCCGTCGAGAGGTGCGCTGGTTTGAATCCCGTCCCAGAAGAATGTTTCACTTGACTGTGGATAGTCTCTAGGTGGTAAATGTCGATTCAAAGGCTTCCCTACACTATGCGGGAACTAACATTCAGGAACAAGATGTAAGACGGGTGCTCTTGTCACTCGACATCAACAAAGCTTCTGGTCACGGCCTGATTCCTGCCGTTGTATTGAAGAGTTGTGGAGTTCTTTCGCGTCTCTTCCAGATACCTTATCCGGTACCTTCCCAGAAAACTAGAACGTTGCTCATGTCCAACCCATCCCAAAAAAGAGATTTAAGACCGACACTTACAACTATAGGCCCATAGCTCTGCTTTCTGTTATAAGAAAGGTGATGATGAGGTGCATAAATTGCGAGCTTCTGGACTACCTCGAACGTCACAGCTTGATTAGCGATAGGCAGTACGGTTTCCGGCACCAGCGATCCACAGGGGATCTCCCAGCTTATGTCAAGCAATTGTGGAGTAATCATATCCAGTCTGATGGTGATGCTCATGTCGTTGCATTTGATCAGCTTTGGCACGCTGCCCTCTTATGCGAACTCTCAGCCTGTGGACTGCCAGAGAAGCTTTGCGGATGGGTGGCCGGCTTTCTCTCAGGCCGCAGGATATCCGTCGTAGTTGACGGGTTCTTCTCTTCATTCCACAACGTCAATGTTCCCTAGAGATCGGGCGACACTGTTCCTCTTACGTATAAACGACCTCCTTTCCTGTACGACAACCCAATCCACAGCTTTGTTGCTATCAGCACCCTACATGCAGGAATTAAGAGCGACAAAACGATCTGGAAAAAGAAGACTAGCAGCGACTTCCTCTCTCACGAGAGACCTGGAGGTTATCACTGCTTGGGGACGCAACACCTGCTAGAGTATGATATGCGCTCTTTCCACTAGATCCCCCTATAGCTCCACGGTACTGACTGATATTCAAGGATTGTGTGGCTCGAGTATAAACACAAAAAATATGTTCGGCTTATTTCCTAACGTGACGCCCCATGGACTATGAATTAATCACTCCACCGCCACCAGACCAACTTCACTGATCAACAGCCAAAAAATATCCTAAATAAAGTCAACAAAATATTACTATTTTTAATGTGCTAAAACCGGAATGAAACTTATTTTTTCAATATTAGTTCAAGTTTTAGAGATACGGTAATTATATGTGTTCCTGCTGTGACAGTGTTAATATACTGTAATTCACAAGAATGCACGTGCTACATTTTTATATTCGCCAAGGAAAGATGATGTAATCGGCATGATTGTGTTACGTTATACATACGTGTACATTATATTGTTTTATATTAGCCATTTTTTCCTCAGTTGGCTGACAGCGTTCATGCAAGATGTCTCGAAAGTGTGTAAACAATCCAGATCAGTTTTGTTACGTGTGTGGTGATGTGACTTTTGCGTCTCAGAGACGGTCTATTACTCCACTAATAACAAAGGCATATCAGCTTGATTTCGGTTGTAAACTAGGTGATCAAGACAAACAGTGGGCACCCCACATCTGCTGTAATACATGTGCTTCAAGTCTGAGGAGCTGGTTAAATGGCAAAAAACGGTCTATGCGCTTTGCTGTCCCAATGGTTTGGAGAGAGCCTACAAATCATATTAATGATTGTTACTTTTGCATGGTACCTTGTGTTGGACAAGCCACAGGTATGTCCAAGAAAAAAAAATCGGTTATTAACTACCCAAAACATACCATCTGCGATGAGACCTGTGCCTCACAGTGACGAAAATCCTATTCCAAAACCCCCAGAATCCTACACTTGCGAATCAGAAAACGAATCAGATCATGGCGATCGAGTGATTCGTCAGGAAGAAGATATGCCATCAACGTCAAGAGATCCTGATTTTATACTGCGCACGTCATGCCAGTAACCGCACAAAATAACACAGTCAGAATTAAATGATCTTGTAAGAGATTTAGCACTTCCAAAATGTAAGGCAGAGTTACTTGGATCAAGACTGCAGCAGTGGAACTTGTTAGAAGACGATGTTTCGGTATGTGTTTTTCGTAAACGCCACAAAGACTGAACCATTTTTCAATATGGAGAATAACTTGGTTTTCTGCAGTAACATTAACGGCTTACTGGCGGCTTTAAATATAAACTATAACCCAGAGGAATGGAGATTGTTTATAGACAGTTCAACAGTGAGTTTAGAAGCAGTGTTATTGCATATTGGAAATATTTTACCATCTCTTCCTGTAGGGTATGCAGTTCACATGAAAGAATCATATGACAATATGAAGTACCTATTGACATGCATAAAATACGATGAGCACCAATGGCATATTTGTGGCGATTTGAAAGTTGCTGCACTTTTACTTGGGCTGCAGCTCGGCTACACAAAGTTTTGCTGTTTTTTGTGTGAATGGGACAGTCGGGCAAAGGCACTTCATTACACCAGATAAAACTGGCCTGTTCGTCAATTCCTAGAGCCAGGTCAAAAAAATGTACAGCATATGCCATTAGTAGATTCGAAAAAATTTTTATTACCACCACTGCATATCAAGTTGGGCCTAATGAAAAACTTTGTCGAGGCATTAGATAGAGATGGGTCAGCTTTTCAATACCTGCGTCAGAAATTTCCAAGACTAAGTGAGGCAAAGGTTAAAGAAGGAATTTTTGTTGGGCCACAGATTCGAAATATTTTGAAAGATACACAGTTTGAAAACACTGTAACAGGTATTGAAAAAACTGCTTGGAATGATTTCCGTCTGGTGGTTACTAATTTCTTGGGAAATAGAAAAGCTGACAACTATAAAACCCTTGTCAAAAATGTGCTGTCATCGTATCAAAAGATGGGCTGTAATATGTCTCTTAAGATACATTTCCTACACTCACACCTGGACTTTTTTCCTGACAATTGCGGAGCCGTAAGTGATGAGCACGGCGAACGTTTTCATCAGGATATTTCAACAATGGAAAAAAGGTACCAGGGAAAGTGGAATCCTTCCATGCTTGCAGACTACTGTTGGACTCTTGGTAGACATGCTCAAGAAACGATCCATAAAAGAACAGCAAAAAGACAGCGCATATAGTGATTCTTATAAGTATATGAATCTTGTTACTTTTTACTTTTTTTTTCTAAACCGCAACTAATTTTTTTATTTCATCGTCATTTTTGGATTCAGCGTCCCAAAATTAACAAAGAAGCGCACTTTTCCCACAAGATACAATTAAAAAACTAAAATTTGTTGTCCAGTGCTTTCAATAAAACTACAAATCCTTTTCGTCCTTAATCTGATAGTATATCACGTTACGACGACATGCTACTGTGTCGCTCTAAAGCGGTAAAACTGTATTTTGCGCTCGGTCCTTGGGAAACTTTAGCTTTGCGTGTTCGACCAAAAGCAATAAAATAAGTTTCATCGCTCGGCGCCTATTTCACCTGGACTAATATAGATATTGATTTTCTTGATGAAGGAAATGCGCCTTAGCACCGAAGGCGACGGGGGAAACGTCAGTGTACGATATGGTATCGCGATAGCCGTATCCAGTTCCGTACAACAAAACCGACAAAATGGAAGATTTGCTGTTGAATATAGTGAAGGAGGCTGGAAACGTCAAGTTGACCAATTTGAAACAGAGAGCACAAGAAGCGCACGGTAAGAAAACTGAATGACTCTTCAATATGCTTGGAGTGCAACGTCATATTGCAACTGCTGATCCAACAGGCGATATTGCATCAGTTCTAGAATGACGTATTGGAATTACCAAATCTTGGAATGATTCATGCAGCTTGCCTAGTTGATTAGTAACATAAAAGATTCTCACTTTAATACTGCTTCTAACTGTAACAAATATAACACAACATCGTTGTTTTATTAGAAAAAAAACTAACCGAACGTTTTTCGCAAATCATTGTTATAATCAAATGTATCTATACAGACACAGATTCTTTAATGTTATCAGTTGGGGAGATGAAACAGTAACTAATCATAGACAAAATAGTGTAAGCTATTTGAATATTTGAGAGCTAACGGATACAATATGAATAATTTGGACTGGGCCAAACTATTTTTAGTTGACCTGTTTATTAAGATTTTACTTGTTTTTGATGTCATAGATACTTGCTAACTTCGATCTCTATTATTATTCATGATATACTAAGTGACATATAAATCCGAACACCCAGTTTAAATGGTTTTATTTTAATAAAAGTTGGTGAATGTATTTATCTTACTGTAAATAACAAGTGAAAAAATGTTCAGCCTTATCAGTTGGACATTCCGGTTTTTATACTGCTTTTTTTTAATTCACTAACGCTCTAAAAATGAATATTTCAGCCGCAGTAAAGAATCAACGTTGGCGGATTTTGGTTCTTGACATCCTTTACGATCGGTTACGATGCCTAGAGTACGGAGACCTGTACGATTTCGTCAACTTAGTGAGTTTGATAGGGGCCGTATAGTGGGACTTCGGGAAGCTGGACTTTCTTTTCGGGCAATTGCAGTTAGAGTGCAAAGAAGTGTAGACACTGTGGTTAGGTGTTGTCAGGCATGGCTTCGAGAAGGCCGTACGCAAAGAGCAAGGGGCACTGAACGCCGCCGTAGAATAACAGACCGTGAAGATCGCCGCCTAAGATTATTGGCCTTAAGGGACCGATTCTCCACTACCAGGTCCATTGCAAATGAATGGTTTGCAGAACACGGAAGACCTATTGGCATGCGAAGTGTTTACCTACGAATGAGAAGTTTTGGCTTGTTTTCATACCGGCCACACTGGGTCCTCCCTTTAACTCGAGAACACCGACGTAATCGCCTTGAGTGGTGCAGACAACGGTCACTCTGGGATCAGGAATGGAACAGTATTGTCTTTAGTGACGAGTCTCGATTTTGTTTAGGCATGCACGATGGTCGTGCCAGGGTTAGAAGGCGACGTAGTGAAAGGAGGAATCCACAGTTTTTTGCTGAAAGACATGTTCATCACACTGTTGGAGTTATGGTTTGGGGTGCTATAGCTTATGGTTCCAGGTCACCTTTAATCTTCATCAGAGGTAACATGAACGCGCAGCGTTATATCCACGAAGTTCTAGAACCCCATCTTTTACCTTATCTTGACACCCTGACAGATCCAACTTTCCAACAAGATAATGCCCGACCACATGTTGCAAGAGTCACAATAGACTTCTTTCAACATAATGATGTCACATTTTTACCATGGCCACCAAGATCTCCCGACTTATCCGCAATTGAGCACGTGTGGGATATGATGGGTAGCAGATTGCTCAATTTGCAACGTCCTCCTCAGACTCTAGAAGCACTTCGAGAGGAGTTGGTGGTTGCCTGGAATGAGATACTACAGGAGGACATTGACCACCTAGGCCTAGGCGCGTTGGGGAATGCGTAGCACATCAGGGTGCATCCACACATTATTAAAGGTCAAAGGGCTTTAAAGCAGTGCAATCATTTTGAAATTTTTATCATTTACTTATTATGCTTCATTAAGTACTTATACAAAATTTTATTAAAATAAAACCATTTAAACTGGGTGTTCGGATTTATATGTCACTTAGTATATATTTCCATAGCTTCTTGAGTTTAGTCTGGGTATATTTTTCTTTATTTTAGATTTGCTATCGGCACAAAATAACCTGATGAGGACATCTTCACATGAGCTAAGGAGCGTCTGTTTTCTACCATTGAAGTTGGCTTTGGAAAGCAAGAAAAGCAAACTGGTTTCTCTAGCACTGACTGGATTGAACGTAAGTGAAAGTCAAAAACATCTTCCAATTTTAACATAATAAAGAAGACGCATATTTTCTTTAATTTCATGTTAAAGGATTTCACGCAAATCATCCAAAACACGGAAACAAAATAATTCAAGCTAAGAGTTCAATGTTTCCCGAAAAAAAAAAACGAAGCTAGTGAGTAACTTGTAGCGCCTGTTTACCAATCAAAATAATAATTGTTAGATAAAATAAAGGCATTGCAATGATCCTTATTTAATCCTTTGTAATTTTATTCACATATTTTCTATAAATAACATTTTTGCATATTCCCTATCTAAAAACGTAAGAATTTCGGAAAATTTGCCGGAAATAATCTTCATGAGTTCAGCATACTCTTGTTCTTGAAATTTTTACCACATTTCAGGTACAATATCAAGCAAAGAGATGGATATTTGCCTTAACTTCTCTGTATGGCCGTTTATAAAAAATAGTTATAGGTTTAAAATATTAACAATGAATATTTTGATAATATACAGGGTGTCCGCAAAGTTGGGGTTTTCCTTTTCAGAAACAACTGCCCTTGAAATAACAAAGGTAATGTGTAGTGAAACGAGGGCGACCAAGTAAACAAAAAATAAAGGAAAAAGTACTCACTCTCCAGTTGACGAGAAGGGCTAAGTACGTCTCTGCCCGAAATCATACCGCTCCAACAGAAAATGAAATCAGCTGATGCGCTACCGAGCAGACGCACCATGCCAGCCCAAACATTCACCGGAAACGATCATTTTAATTACTTGTAATGCCCAAATCGAACATGTAAAAAAAATATTATTTTCCCATAAATAATTAAAAATGCATCAAACCTTAAACATCGAAATATCTCAAAAACGGCTAACGATAACGAAAACTTACAGGGGAGCTTTTTTATGCAGAAAAGTGCGAAGAATCAGTTTTTTATTCAAAAAGCGAAAAATTGCACTAAGAAAAAAATTTACCTTAACGAAGAAGACGTAGTATTATCGAAATCAAGGAGGCCATAAACGAGCCCTACAATTGTACAGTATATTCAGATAAGAGATAGACCGGATGTAAACAAAAGGTTCGGGTGATTTTCACGCTAACGCCGCCGTCTCGACGTAAAACAGGAGCCGTCATTGGTCAATTCGCAATTAAATGCCTATGCCGAGCGGCAGAGCAGTCGTATCAAGGCAGAGTCACATTCAGGTTCAGACGTGTTACGTATGTCGTGTGCATCATTGCAATTTGATATTTCTTTGGACGTTTTCGTTTGTTATCTTATTAAGTTGTTGAGTTTGTCGTTGTTATTGTTATACCTTGTTATTGATTGTTATTGTTATCAACTGCTTGCGCAAAATGCCCAGTAGTACAGATACTGCCGATGAAGTTGTAAGCTCCTGTAGTCCACCTAAGAAACGCTCTAAAAAAAGACACCTGAGTGCAGAAATGAAAGAGGTCATTTTGAATATATATAAGATCGAGCGCGAGGAGAACGAGGCATCAACCATCAAAGAAATTGTTGTGAAGGTTTCTCACAAAGTTGGGGTGTGTCGCGCATCAGTGTTTAATGTGTTAAGACAATACAAAAAAAATCACACCTTTTCTGAGCCAATGACCAGTAAACATCGCAAAAGTATTGTTAAATCATTGGATGAAGCTGATAAGCATGCGATTAGGAGGAAAGTGCACGAATTCTTCTTTAGGAATGAAATACCTACTATAGATAAAGTACTGCAGGAGGTAAATGGAGATACAACATTGCCAAATTTCAGACGATCAACTTTCCATGCGTTACTGAAGCATTTAAACTTCAAATGGAAAAAACGGGGTCGTAATAGTTTACTACTGGATAGAGAAGAAATTGTGCTATGGAGGAGGGATTATTTAACAAAAATTGGGTAATATAGAAATCAAAACAGGAAGATTTATTACCTTGATGAAACATGGGTAAACGCAGGACACACTACAAGTAAAGTATGGGTTGATGATTCTGTAACTTCATCCAGGAGGGCCTTTCTAGATGGACTGTCCAGCGAATTAAAAAATTCAGCAGGTAAATACGAGTAATAGACAACAATCGGATGTTTTTCAAACCTTGGGAACAAGGTTCTAAACATTAATTCCAGGGGGCAGATAAAACATATTACAAGTAACAAAACTTTTATAACTTTCGATAAAATGCGTGGATGTTTTATTGTCATTTTCATTTGTTAGAACTTTTTAAAGCCATGTTTTTATGTGTTTTCGATATTTCAATAATTTTTTAATATAATCTTAAAATATGTCGAATATTATAAACTTAAAAAAAGTTACTAAGTTTTATATTGTGTACCGTTCCTAATATTTCTAATCATTTTAATTCATACTTTAAGCTTTATAAAGTTATAATTTGTTAATATTAATATTTGTGCGTATTTCAGGTTCCTAGTCATTCATTTTTTAAAGGTTTATAACTTTAAATTAAATTGTGAAGCGCTGAGTAATCATACGACGTTCAATATTCTTTCTTTCAATATGACTAAATAATCCCAATTATAGCAATCTGATACTCATGTCTCAATGTTTTTTCGCTGAATGTGATGAAAACATTTGAAAAAGGTTCGCTTATTGAAATAAATCTACACCAGTTAGTACTTCGATTTCCAGGTAAAGGGAAAAGGCTCATTATCTGCCATATTGGCAGTGAGGATGGATTTGTTGTTGACGGTCTGTGGTGCTTTGAGTCTAAGAAAACTGGAGATTACCACGAGGAAATGAATGGCGAATCGTTTGAACAGTGGTTTTCAAAAATTTTACCGAACTTAGATGAAAACGCAGTAATTGTGTTGGATAATGCGCCTTATCATTCTCGAAGAATGGAGAAGGTCCCAACAACGGCTTCAAGGAAAGTTGATGTTCAAAATTGGCTCCGCTCGAAAAATATCAACTTTGAAGAAGCAATGCTGAAAGTACAATTATTAAGAATTGTCAAGGATCACAAGGCGGAATATCAAAAATACGCCATTGACAAAATGGCAGCAAGTCAAAATAAAACTGTGCTCCGTTTACCTCCATACCATTGCGAGCTCAATCCCATTGAGCTCATATGGGCAGAGGTTAAAAATTATATAGCTAAGCACAATACAACTTTTAAATTTTGTCACCTCAAAGGACTTTTCAAAGAAGCACTAGAATTAATAACAGCGCAAAAATGGGAAAACTGTATTAAGCACGCGAAAGACAAAGTTGAAAAGAGAATGTGGGAACTGGACAATATTTTAGAGGAACAAGTCGAGCCATTCATTATTGACGTTGGTGCTTCAGGCAGTAGCGATGATGAAAGCTCATCAAGCTCATCTTTCCAATAAAAGATGTCGTTCATCAAATTCGGTAAGTTATAAGTAATTATAAAGCTACTGTATTTTTTAATTAATTATTGACATTTTTGAACCCATTTTGGCAAAACCTATTCAAGAATCTACTTTCTGACAATGTTCAACCAGGCACATTTTTTTACGTTTTGAACGTTTTAATTTGGTTACATATTTACCTAGAAATCAAAAAATATACTAATCAATATTCTAAAAGCAATTTTAAGAGATATACGATTATTTTTAATTTAGGCTAATTTAAACGCCATTTTGAGATTATATTCGACTGTATTTCATCAAACATCAGACGGCATCCGAAGCTGGAAATCGAAGCGAAATTTTTGAAACCCTTATGTATATTTACATCATTATATATTTCTTACCCCACCCCCACATGATCCTATATCCATCACCAATCGTATACACATCGAATTGTGCTAATTTACTACAAAGTTACGCAAAGCAGCATCTACTATCTAAAATATGTACTGCGGGACTCTTAATACGTCCCTGCCGAATGTTACAGCGTTCGATGATCACATGGTCTTGTTTATGTCCGGTATATCTCTTATCTGAATATACTTTAGGGACGACTGACGATACGGACGTTAGGGACATACGTTTATAGGAACTTTTTCATTTTGGCTGTACTTCCTATTTTGGACAAATTACCATTATTTTTCACCTTTTCCAGAAAATTGTCCGCGACGAGCGCTTCCAAACCGGGTCGGAGCCAGAGGACGACTCCCTATGGCTGCCAGCCCAACTCCTCTTGGCCACCTCGTCGATGCTGACCCAATGCGAGGACACCCAAGTCCACATCCTTCGGGTGGTGTTAGGACTCGCGTGCAGCGCCGGATGGGCTTTGAACGGAAGGCTGGTCATGCTGCTTTTGACCAGATGCGGCGAAGCTTACGAATCTGGCACGCAGCCCGTTAGAGCTGCCGCACAGGCTGCGGCCAGTCAAACTTTGACAGCGTTTTGCACATTCTTGGGTAAGTTTCACTCAAGATATTACACGTCCAACTCAAAGGGTAATTTTTGGGCTACAGACGAGAGCTGTGGGAATACTAGCAGGATTATATTTTCGCGAGGACTGCAGAGAAGCCTTTGTCATATTGGGCATATTGACTTTTCCTGCTGTTTTCGTTCTGGAAAATGTATTGTTTGTCAAAAAATTAAGAACGGTTCACCCTTCACAGCGAGATACATAAATATTAAACAAGAAATAGGAATCTCGGTTGGCCACGTGGGTCACAGTAATAATAATAATAATAAATGGCCTTTATTTTACCTGGCGGGTTACATCAACACAAGCTGTTTTTCAGAACCAACCAGGGCTAAAAAAAATTCAAGTACATGCAAATACAACAAAAATACATTGAAGATAATAAGAACATTTAAAGCAGAAAAAAATTTTTTTTTACAGAATCGTAGCATGGTATAATGACCAAAAGACCAAAAGAGAAACGTGGAGCAACAGAGTACGTAGCAGAATCAAAAACCGTGATTAGAAGTAACTTTAAAAAAAGAAAATATTAGGTATATGGCGGAAGATATAAAAATTAAAAGTAAACAGTAACAAATGTGTAAACAAAACACAAACAAATGAAAAGTGACGAGTGAGAAAACATGCACAAATAAACAAATATAAAAATAAAATTACATAAAAATACATGCTACATGAAATCAAAAAGAAATACAGGGTGGCCCATAAGTCCTTTGAGCTGGAAAAAAAGGAATAAAACCAAACTAGTTACATTATGAAGAATTATTATATTTTGTTATCATCTTTATTGAATGGGAATTATGTTTAAAAAATCACATCGTCTAAATGCAATCCATTATGATCACGGCACTCATATAAACGACGTCTAAAATTGTCGATGACTGCGCGGCAAGTCAACACTGTAATGCTTGCCATTTCTCTTCGGATATTTTCTTTCAGGACATCAACTGATCGCGGAGTGGTGTCGTACACTTTACTCTTGAGGTAGCCCCATAAAAAGAAGTCCATTGGGGTCAAATCTGGACTACGTGGTGGCCAGGAAATGTCTCCTCTTCGAGAAATTACTTTGCTGGGAAAAAGTTGACAGACGACGGGCATAGAAGTGTTGGAGGTGTGGGCAATTGCTCCGTCCTTTTGAAACCAGGTCTGCGTATTATAGCCTGGAAAATTCTGCAACGCTGTTGTCAAAATCTCTTCTATCATTGCTACATATCGCTCCGAAGTAACAGTTAATGCGCGACTTCTGTCGCCCTCAAAAAAATAAGGGCCTACGATGCCATGCGCTGACATAGCAGCCCAAACTGTAACTTCAGGGCTGTGTAAGGGCTTCTGATGCTTACGCCTTGGATTTTCGGGGCTCCAATAACGGCAATTTTGTTTATTTACATGCCCGTTTAAATGGAAGTGAGCCTCGTCCGAGAACAACACATTATTGAGCGAAGAAAATCGATTCAACATTTCATTCGCAAAGTTTAGTCTCTGAATAGCGTCATTATCTTTTAATTCCTGCACTAACTGAATTTTGTAAGCGTGCAGACGTAAATCTTTCCTTAAAATCCGCTGTAAAGATTACGTACGTTTAGTGCACTGGAAGGCTTACGAGTAGACTGGGTAGGATTTTGACGAACAGACTGTGCCACAATGTTGATGTTTTCTTCAATACGAGTTGTCCTTGGTCGACCCCACCGCTGTTTATCTAACGTCGAACCAGTCTCTTCGAACTTAGCAACCCAGTTCTTAATCGTTTGAGCTGCTGGACCCTTTGTAAAATTGTGTAAATTGTGGTATTCTCGATATTTACGCCGCGCAATGGTTGCCGAATCATTATTTTGATAAAACGCGCGCACACAAAAAGCACGATCCGCTCCAGTGAAACACTCCATGGCGACTGAATTCCCAGACACTGAAGATACTGCCCCCACCTCGCCCGCGCCGCTCACGCTCACCCGTTAAATTTTATTCAAATTTGAAATTTCAAAGGACTTATGGACTACCCTGTACATGCTACATGTCATCAAAGACACAGAGCCTAACTTTTCTTTTAAAGCTGGACACAGACAGAGTTTTCAAAGCTTGAGGTACTTTATTGTAGAAATCGGGCGCCACATATGAAAGGCTCTTTCTGAATTGGGTTGTTCGGTGCCGAGGCAAGTCAAGAGTATATCCTACAAAACGCAGGTTCGCTGAGTGATGATCACATCTCATGGTAAGCTTGTTCTTCAAATAAGGAGGCATTTTATTTATCATAATACTGTGGACCAATGATAATAGATGCAGTATCCACCTTTGTCGAATATTAAGCCATTGAATATTTATAATATAAACAGGTGTCGTGCTACTGATCAGCCGGCCGGCCCGGTCGCGAGTTCGAATCTCGCCTTCGCCATGGATGTTATGACGTCGTGTGTTTGTCCATAATCAGAGATACACATACATATACAAGATTGGATCTGGCTAATGAGACGGAATGTCCTAGTGCCCAAAAAAATCATCATTTCGGTTAACACAGAGTTCCCCAAACTTGTTTGTGTCGTAGACCCCTTGCCATGTTTTTTCGTGTTGGGTAGACCCCCTACTTACCTGATATTGATTTCCTGTAAATTTCTAACTGTAGTGAAGTTTAGTGTTAAAAACTTAGAGTAAAAACACATGTTAATTTATACATTTATTAATTGAATTTAAATTAAAACTACTGAAAATAAAATTTTGTATCTGTTATGTAAAATATACGTAACATTAAATAAACAGGTGTCTGACCAATAAGTGTCTGCATTGAGAATAAGTACCTGCATTGAAAAAAAAAAAATAAGAGGGATAAAATAAAAAAAAGTGAAAAATAATAAAAAAAAGTGTTTTACTTAAAATAGTACGATAAGCGAGTTCGTTTATTAATTATAACATAAACGTATGTTCTACAATAATTTCACTGTTAGTTTGATTAAATTCAGCTTCTTATACGTTTCAGTTATCTAAAAATAGGCAAAAAATTAACGAATTTTAGTGTGTACCTATCCTTGAATGAGGGGGGTTCTTTAAAAAATCAATGTGGACATTTATTGGTCAGACACCAATAAACATAAACTATAAATAAAATAACATAAGCAATAAGTCAATATTTTTAGTGAGAAGGATGAACCTGATGCTTTAATAATAAATTATCAACATTTGGCGTCAATTTTGTAAGGGTTAATCTTAAATCTCCTCGGCTAATGATGTCCAGTCTGTTTCTTTTTTTCGTTAGGAGATTGGTAACAGCGCTGAACCCCCTTTCCACTAGGTATGACGCTGGAAAGGAAATACGGGATAAGTAACGGGTATGTTGTTTTGCAGCCAGAATTGCTGATATCCGTTTTTACACTGAACCTTAAGTTCTTCGTTTGTACTTGGTTCAGTCACTTCCTCTTGTATTATGACATTCGTTTCTTCTATGTCACCATATGGATTAATTATCCACGGTGGTATTACCATAGTCAAAATATCCTCAAACCTAGATTCAAAATCTGATATAGAGGGCATTTAAATGTTGAACGTAAGTTGAAACGTCGTCTTCCTGGCAGCTTGTCTGTGACAAATTGGGGAACTGAGAAAATTCGCCCCGTCCAATATTTTGCTTCATTAGTTTAACTCTGGCAAGAAACGCTGATAAGATGGACTTTGTTTTAATCAAATTTAAACTGTCGCCTTGTAATTGCAAATTAACCATATTAAATTTTGTAAGCAAATCTGTTAAATAGGCGATGTCTGTTTTCCTCTTCATTAAATTTTTATCTTTAGTATCCAGAAATTCTAAAATAGTCTCAAAAAGTGCAAAAAATCTTGTCAAACATAAGCCTTTCGACAGCCAGTGAACTTCAGTGTGAAGGAGTAATTGATGAAAGTGTTCGTCATTTTCTTCACACAACTGTGCAAATAACCGCGTATTCAACGCGTTGCTTCGGATTCGGTTTACTGCATCAATGACTAAATGAAGTGATTCATGCAATCTAACACTCAAATTTTTAGCAACTAAATGTTGTCGATGGATGACGCAATGTATTGCTAACACCCCTGACACATTTTGTTTTAAATAGCTTATAAATCCACGATAACGTCCAACCATGGCAGGTGCTCCATCTGTAGCTACTGATATTATATCTGATAAAGGAATTGCTTTTTCAATGAAGTAATCCTTCAAAACATGAAATATTGATTCACCTTTAGTGTCGGTTATCAAAGTTCTTGCGAAGAGCAGTTCTTCGAAGATTTCTTGATTCATAATAAAACGAACATATGCCAATAATAATGCTGCATTATCAGGTAAAGTTGACTCGTCCAGTTGTATAGAGAAATGGGCCGTTTGCAAATAATTACATAAGAAGCTTTCAATATCAGAACTCATTTCATCAATACGTCTTTCAACAGTATTGTTGCTTAAGGGAATTCTTTTAATGATATCAGATGCAGGTTTGTGTAAAACAGTTTTTAAAACCTCTTCAACGGCTGGCAAAATTAAGTTCTCTCCGATAGTATGCGGTTTTCCGGATTTTGCTATAAGTAACGAGATATTGTAAGACGCCCGCAAACCATCATCATTTCTTTGTGACGTCGAAGCGAACATTCTGTCCAGTGTAGGTCTCTTCTGAAATTCATCTTTAAGTGTTTGAAAGTATTTCAAATCTTTCTCTGTTTTATCAGGGTGGCATCTTCTCAGATGATCTTGCAGTTTAGATGGTTTCATAGCGTCATTGCCCAAAACTTTGTTGCATAAAAGGCACATAGGCGATTGTTTGTCCGGCAATGATGGAATGAAGCCAAATTTCAAATAATCAACACTGTACTGTCTACATTTCTTTCTAGATTCGGACATGGCATCAGTCATCTGTGGGCAAAATTAAATTATTTAAATAAGACAGAAAACCCTGCAGCTGTATATTAAAAATATTTTTTAATTTTTCCGAAAACATTCCATAATTCGAACATCTTCTTGCAACAATTAGCTCGAATTACGGAGATTGCACTGTAATTATATTACCGATTGCTAAAACTCTCAAAAAGAAACTATTGAGGAGTACTCGTGTAATTCTGCATGATTGAATATTTAACTTCTAATAACTAAAGTCATGATTGGCGTAATTTATCTATCTTTGCTAACTACGAGTACAAAACTAAAATTTAATAAAAAATAATGTACTTACTTTTCTCCAGCACTCTCAAACAAAATAACACTGACTCACTATAATTTGTGTGATATACTATCTGTTTGTATTTTTTAAAATATTTTCTTAGCACTTTCCTTTTCAAGATTCAGGAAACGAATAAACGTATTTGTCCCACATTCGTATTTATAAAGTGACGAATTGAACAAGTCAGTGTAAATAATGTATATGTTGTGATATTATAAGATAGTATGATGTAAGTAAATAGGTACTATCAGTGTATGTGTTGAGATCCACTATCGTGGACCCCCATATTCATTTCATGGACCCCCAAATTTTTTTTCGCTAACGTAGACCCCTTGCAGGTTGTCATAGACCCCTAGGGGTCGATATAGACCACTTTGGGAATCAATGGGTTAACGTATGGACAGGAATTATTGGCAACCACTTTATTCGCCCATTCTTCTTGCCGGCACGACTTATCTCAATTTTCTTCAGCAACACTTGCCGTTGCTGCTTGATGATGTTCCGTTAGTAATAAGAAACAATATGTGGTACATGCATGATGGAGCACCAGCGCATTTCAATGTAGCGGTTCCTAATTATATACAAACCGTTTATCCAAATCGTTGTATTGGCTGCGGTGGGCCCCAAGAATGGCCACCAAGGTCCCCAGACCTCAACAGTTTAGATTTCTTTTTGTGGAGCTATCTTAAGACACCAGTGTACACAAGTCCCATTAACACTCGTAGAGCACATCGTAAATGATGCAAATAGAACACTAGGGTTCATAAACAGGACATGCAGAGAATTTACGAACCCAAAAACGCTTATTTCATTGTACTACGCTTATATACACAACAAACTGATGCATCAGTAATATGGAATCCGTCTTACAATATACATATAGTCAGGATAGAAAGAATTCAACACAAATTTTTGAAGATGTTAGCACATAAAACTCACCAACCTGTTACAGATCATCATTATACGCAAATTATGAAACAATTCAATATGATTTCCTTAAAAGATAGAAGAACTATTTCTGACATTTGCTGTGTCCATAAATTATTGAATGGCCGCATTGACTGTCCGGATCTTTTGGCAAACTTGAACATTAACACTACTGATAGAACGTTTAGAATCTATCATCTGTTTAGAATACCGTTCCGTAGAACCAATCTTGGTCTTAATTCCCCTTTGGTCAGGGCTCAAAAAAATCATAATAATTTCTGTAATATAGATTTATTTAACATTAGCTTGACCTCCCTGAAAAAGTATGAGTATTACAGCTCTATGGCAGACTAAAATAGAAATGTTTTATTTTTTTACATAACTCAAGTTATCACCTCCAATATCATTTCTGGTATAATTTCAATTTAATTTTGATTTCAGTTTTAATTAAACGTAAGTAAATGTTATGTATACTCCTTTTATTAAAAAAGTTAAATCAATAGTTTATTGCTTATAATTAGAACTACTCACTCAGTTTATGTTCTTACAACAATATCGGAGGATAAAAAAATATTAATATCGAAGTATTCAATAATGTAATATATGTATATGTATACGATATTTTATGTAAGTTTAATTTTAGTTCATTGAGGGTGTGTGTTGGGTTTACCTGTTAACACCCCAAACTGTATGTAAATAAATAAATAAATAAACACTGTAGAGGAATTAAGAGAAAGAATAGTTGCAGCTTGTGATAGAATAAAAAACACTCCAGGGTTAGTTTTGGGCTACAGAGGAAAGCTATAAGAATACTAGCAGGATTATCTTTTCGGGAGGACTGCAGAGAGGCCTTTGTCATATTGGGCATGTTGACTTTTCCTGCTCATTTGTTCTGGAAAGTGTGTTGTTTGCCAAAAAAATTAAGAACGGTTCACTCTTTGGAGCAATATATACTAAGTGACATATAAATCCGAACACCCAGTTTAAATGGTTTTATTTTAATAAAAGTTGGTGAATGTATTTATCTTACTGTAAGTAACAAGTGAAAAAATTTTCAGCCTTATCAGTTGAACATTCCTGTTTTTATACTGCTTTTTTTTAATTCACTAACGCTCTAAAAATGAATATTTCAGCCGCAGTAAAGAATCAACGTTGGCGGATTTTGGTTCTTGACATCCTTTACGATCGGTTACGATGCCTAGAGTACGGAGACCTGTACGATTTCGTCAACTTAGTGAGTTTGATAGGGGCCGTATAGTGGGACTTCGGGAAGCTGGACTTTCTTTTCGGGCAATTGCAGTTAGAGTGCAAAGAAGTGTAGACACTGTGGTTAGGTGTAATTATTTACAAACCGTTTATCCAAATCGTTGGATTGGCCGCGGTGGGCCCCAAGAATGACCACCAAGGTCCCCACACCTCAACAGTTTAGATTTCTTTTTGTGGAGCTATCTTAAGACACCAATGTACACAAGTCCCATTAACACTGTAGAGGAATTAAGAGAAAGAATAGTTGCAGCTTGTGATAGAATAAAAAACACTCCAGGGTTAGTTTTGGGCTACAGAGGAAAGCTATAAGAATACTAGCAGGATTGTCTTTTCGGGAGGACTGCAGAGAGGCCTTTGTCATATTGGGCATGTTGACTTTTCCTGCTCATTTGTTCCGGAAAGTGTTGTTTGTCAAAAAAACTAAGAACAGTTCACTCTTTAGAGCGAGATACATAAATATTAAACAAAAAATAGGAACAAAATCAGACCTATCTTCTGCCTGCTGAGGTCAAAGCAGACCAGAAATTATTCCTGTTAAGTTATACAATAAACTACCTCCGCAGACCAGAGGCAGTGTTGAGCAATATCACTTACAACTTGCTCTATATACGATATCAGAGATTTTAGACACTGGTTTTGAATGTACTTGATGTATGTGTTTTGCAACGGAACCTATAGTGTGCTTGCTTTAAGGTTTTGAAACATTTCTGTGAATGTATCAAAAATGACATGCGCTCATACAAGGACTGTATATACCATTCGTCATTATTCGTCAGAGCGGTCCGGTGGACCTTTGCTCTTAGTTAAAAGTCTCGTCGGTCTGTTAGTCTGTCAGGTCTGGCTAACCAGATACCAAACTTGTTTAAGGGGAAAAGGGAAAGAAAGGAAGGAAGAAATAGAGCAAAGAAAGGAAGTAAATCGTTTGAAATGGCTTAAGCATTATTGCTACTCGATTTATTTTGAAATAATTTTGGCTGGTCTGAATTTACAATTTAATTTTGATCGCAGTGCGAGACGCGGCCTGGAATGTTTGCGAACTAGCTCGACTGTGTAGTCTACTGAGTCACGCAACAGAGGGTTGTTGTGCGATTCGGCTTGATTATAACGCCGCTGCGCCTGTCGTTTTACATAATCCCTTAGATACGGGATATCAAGATCTCTGTGAATGGTCTCATTTGACACGTACCAGGGGGCGTTAGTAATTGTGCGTAGGGTTCTGTTTTGCAGGATTTGCACTCTCTGCATGCGTATTCAAATACCTAGAGCTTGAACGAATTTCCTGAATGTACACACCGTATCGTATGTTTTTCAGACGAAGAGTGTCAAGAAATCCTCCAGCAACAACAAAAGCACAAAAATTCAGGAAGCAGTGCCGAAATGGTATACACTAAAACGTCAGCAGTAGCCTGTTTCAATGAAGCGATTCCTGTGATGCAGTACATCTGTAGCAAACTGGAAGAAACCAAATCGTATGTCCAGTCATTCGTCTTCTTAAATATATATACAGGGCGTCTGAAAAGTTCCGAAACCCGACGATAACTTGATGTGTATAACTAGTAATGAGCGATCTTGCATTTGACATTAACTATAACAATCAAGGTCAGTTGAACGTCAAGTCAATTTTTAAAATTTTTGACCCTGTAAATGAAAAGAGCGGAAAATTTTACGTTTAAATATGGTCTTGACCATTCTTTAATTTCGACCTTAGGAGATCGTGGTGAAGGTCAAACTTAGGTACGGTGATATAACTTGAAAGCTAGTAGTCATATAGGGAAACTACCGAGACATTATTTTCATGATTTACCTCATATATCCAATGCTGACCTTGGATCTGATCTTGGTCAAGACCTTCAAGGTCATTTAGACGTCTTCTATTTTCAATGGGACCCTATAAAGGAATAAAAAACTTGGACCCAGCAGCAGTAACCTAGAATTTGACCTACAAGGTCAATTGAAGGTCAAGTCGATTTCTGTAAATAAAACCCCCATTTTTGACCCCGTATCGGAAAATGTTACGTTCGAATATGGTCTTGACGAATCAAACCCAGCCACGGTGACATAATTGTCATGATTTTCCACGAATATCCAATGGTGACTTTGGATTTGACCTTAGCCCTGACTGTCAAAGTTATTTGAAGGTCGACCATCTTTCAATTGGACCCTATACTTTTGGCCGCGAAAATGGCGGAAGGGAATTTTTTTATCATCGACTATATCCTTGCTAATTTTTGGAACTTGACCTTGGACTTTACCATCAAGGTCAAATAAAAGTTTGCCTAAGTTTTTTCATAATTCAGAGAACTGTGTAATCCCGAAATAAACTGACTTCACTGTTCCTTCAGGATTGTTCGCTGGCTACAAAAATCGGCTTGACCTCCATATGACCTTGAAGGTCATGGAAAAAGTCAAATCCAAGGTCACCATTGGATAGCTGGAAAAAACTGCTAACAATTGCAAGGCTTAATTTTTTCACACCATTATTAGTTCAAAAATTGTCGTGGGGTTCCGGAACTCTTTTGGGTCAAACTTAGGTATGGTGATATAACTTGAAAGCTAGTAGTCATATAGGGAAACTACCGAGACATTATTTTCATGATTTACCTCATATATCCAATGCTGACCTTGGATCTGATCTTGGTCAAAACCTTCAAGGTCATTTAGACGCCTTCTATTTTCAATGGGACCCTATAAACGACGAAAAAAACGTGGACCCTGCAGCAGTGACCTTGAATTTGAGCTACAAGGTCATTTGAAGGTCAAGTCGATTTCTTTAAATAAAACCCCCATTTTTGACCCCGTATCGGAAAATGTTACGTTCAAATATGGTCTTGACGAATCAAACCTAGCCACAGTGATATAATTTTCATGATTTTCCCCGGATATCCAATGGTGACTTTGGATTTGACCTTAGCCCTGACTGTCAAAGTTATTTGAAGGTCGACCATTTTTTCAATTGGACCCTATATTTTAGACCGCGAAAATGGCGGAAGGTAAAATTTTTTGTCATCGACTATATCCTTGCTAATTTTTGGAACTTGACCTTGGACTTTACCATCAAGGTCAAATAGAAGTTTGCCTAAGCTTTTTCATAATTCAGAGAACTGTGTAATCCCCAACTAAACTGACTTCACTGTTCCTTCAGGATTGTTGGCCGGCTACAAAAATCGGCTTGACCTCTACATGACCTTGAACGTCATGGAAAAAGTCAAATCCAAGGTCACCATTGGATAGCTGGAAAAAACTGCTAACAATTGCGAGGCTTAATTTTTTCACACCATTATTAGTTCATAAATTGTCGTGGGGTTCCGGAACTCTTTTGGGTCAAACTTAGGTATGGTGATATAACTTGAAAGCTAGTAGTCATATAGGGAAACTACCGAGACAGTATTTCCATGATTTACCTCATATATCCAATGCTGACCTTGGATCTGATCTTGGTCAAGACTTTCAAGGTCATTTAGACGTCTTCTATTTTCAATGGGACCTTATACTAGGAAGAAAAAAGCGTGGACCCAGCAGCAGTGACGTTGAATTTGACCTACAAGGTCATTTGAAGGTCAAGTCGATATCTTTAAATAAAACCACCATTTTTGACCCCGTATCAGAAAATGTGACGTTCAAATATGGTCTTGACGAAGCAAACCCAGCCACGGTGATATAATTTTCATGATTTGCCCCGGATATCCAATGGTGACTTTGGATTTGACCTTAGCCCGGACTGTCAAAGTTATTTTAAGGTCGACCATTTTTTCAATTGGACCCTATACTTTTGACCGCGAAAATGGTGGAAGGGAAATTTTTTTATCATCGACTATATCCTTGCTAATTTTTGGAACTTTTCCTTGGACTTTACCATCAAGGTCAAATAGAAGTTTGCCTAAGTTTTTTCATAATTCAGAGAACTATGTAATCCTCAAATAAACTGACTTCACTGTTCCTTCAGGATTGTTCGCTGGCTACAAAAATCGGCTTGATCTCCATATGACCTTGTCAAATCCAAGGTCACCATTGGATAGCTGGAAAAAACTGCTAACAATTGCGAGGCTTAATTTTTTCACACCATTATTCGTTCATAAGTCGTCGTGGGGTTCCGGAACTCTTTTGGGTCAAACTTAGGTACGGTGATATAACTTGAATGCTAGTAGTCATATAGGGAAACTACCGAGACATTATTTCCATGATTTACCTCATATATCCAATGCTGACCTTGGATCTGATCTTGGTCAAGACTTTCAAGGTCATTTAGACGTCTTCTATTTTCATTGGGACCCTATAAACGACGAAAAAAACGTGGACCCAGCAGTAGTGACCTTGAATTTGACCTACAAGGTCATTTGAAGGTCAAGTCGATTTCTTTAAATAAAACCCCCATTTTTGACCCCGTATCGGAAAATGTTACGTTCAAATATGGTCTTGACGAATCAAACCCAGCCACAGTGATATAATTTTCATGATTTTCCCCGGATATCCAATGGTGACTTTGGATTTGACCTTAGCCCTGACTGTCAAAGTTATTTGAAGGTCGACCATTTTTTCAATTGGACCCTATACTTTTGGCCGCGAAAATGGCGGAAGGGAAAATTTTTTATCATCGACTATATCCTTGCTAATTTTTGGAACCTGACCTTGGACTTTACCATCAAGGTCAAATAAAAGTTTGCCTAAGTTTTTTCATAATTCAGAGAACTGTGTAATCCCCAAATAAACTGACTTCACTGTTCCTTCAGGATTGTTAGCTGGCTACAAAAATCGGCTTGACCTCCACATGACCTTGAACGTCATGGAAAAAGTCAAATCCAAGGTCACCATTGGATAGCTGGAAAAAACCCCTAACAGTTGCGAGGCTTAATTTTTTCACACCATTATTAGTTCATAAATTGTCGTGGGGTTCCGGAACTCTTTTGGGTCAAACTTAGGTATGGTGATATAACTTGAAAGCTAGTAGTCATATAGGGAAACTACCGAGACATTTTTCCATGATTTACCTCATATATCCAATGCTGACCTTGGATCTGATCTTGGTCAAGACCTTGAAGATCGTTTAGACGCCTTCTATTCTCAATGGGGCCTTATAAAGGAAGAAAAAAGCGTGGACCCAGCAGCAGTGACCTTGAATTTGACCTACAAGGTCATTTGAAGGTCAAGTCGATTTCTTTAAATAAAACCCCCATTTTTGACCCCGTATCGGAAAATGTTACGTTCAAATATGGTCTTGACGAATCAAACCTAGCCACGGTGATATAATTTTCATGATTTTCCCCGGATATCCAATGGTGACTTTGGATTTGACCTTAGCCCTGACTGTCAAAGTTATTTGACTGTCAAAGTTATTTGAAGGTCGACCATTTTTTCAATTGGACCCTATACTTTTGACCGCGAAAATGGCGACAGGTAAAATTTTTTATCATCGACTATATCCTTGCTAATTTTTGGATCTTGACCTTGGACTTTACCATCAAGGTCAAATAGAAGTTTACCTTAGTTTTTTCATAATTCAGAGAACTGTGTAATCCCGAAATAAACGGACTTCACTGTTCCTTCAGGATTGTTCGCTGGCTACAAAAATCGGCTTGACCTTCACCTGACCTTGAAGGTCATGGACAAAGTCAAATCCAAGGACACCATTGCCTGTTAGTAGCTATACAAGCTCTTCCCTGTCAGAAAAGGATAGTGTGACATTCGCCTTACAGACATCTAATTGCCTTCAAAGTCATATCGCAATATTTATCATTCATTGACGTGGCAGTGCTTCAAATTCCTCTGCAATGATTCCGTTTTAGCTTGCTGAAAGGCTGTGTAAAACCGGTGCTGAACTATCTAAACAATGAATACTTTTATTTGTTTTTAGGTTGCCAAAATCCTCCGACATGACAGTATTCCTGCTAGAATGCCTTCTAACTTTGGTGAATACGCTTCCCCACACTGTGCATTCTAACATCCACTTCACTACGTTTCTATGGCAACGATTCTGTCCAGCACTGCTGGCGTTTCTCGGCACGCCCGGAGATACTTCCAGCCAATCGCTGACCACCAATCAATCCAAGATCGTTTATAGGTAAATAAATAGTGTATAATGGTTAATTATGTATCTATGGCGTAAAGTAGGCGTTTATGAAACGGCGATAACTTCGAACAATACCTATAAAGTACGTTTACCGAAAAACTGAAAACGCGGCAACGCCGTCATATTTGTTACCTCTGTTCGTGGTCTGCACCACCGCCCGCGTCTGCTCGGTAGCGCATCAGCTGATTTCATTTTCTGTTGGAGCGGTATGATTTCGGGCAGAGATGTACTTAGCCCTTCTCGTCAACTGGAGAGTGAGTACTTTTTACTTGGTCGCCCTCGTTTCACTACACATTACCTTTGTTATTGCAAGGGTAGTTGTTTCTGAAAAGGAAAACCCCAACTGTGCGGACACTCTGTACAATATATAGTACGGAGCTACAGGCGGTTAGGCTGGTGGAACGACTAACCAAAGGATTCACCCTTAACGAAAGTACTGGCATCTTTCTTTTGGATGTCTCAAAAGCATTTGGCAAGGTGTGGCACGCGGGCCTCCTGTATAAACTAATCCAAAAGGACTTCCCTTTTTGGCTTCTAAAACTACTGAAATCCTCCCTTGAAGGCAGGAAATTTCGGTTCAAAATTGACAATGTCCTGTCGACAACACGGCTGATTACAGCCGGCGTCCCTCAGGGTTCGGTAGTTGGACCTACCCTTTACTCACTGTACATCCATGACGTTCCTAGTCCCAGCAACTGTGAAGTCTATCTCTATGCCGACGATACTGCATTGGTGGCTCAGTCGTGGTCTGGTGACCTAGTCCATGACAGGCTGCAAAGTGCGGTGGAGGAAGTATTAGATTGGGCGGATCGGTGGCTAATTAAAATTAACCATTCGAAAACGCAGGCAATCTACTGTACAAAAAGACATCGCGGCAGGTACACAATTGTTTTCTAAGTGATGAATATTAAGAGGAGCGCGGCGGGGGTGCGCGCGGATTTCATGTTGTGACTTGGTGATAAAATCAACACATCCTGCGTGTACGCAGGTGAAAACCATTTCGACGCAGGACGACACTCCTCAATGAGGGCTAGATAGGTACTGCAAAAAATAGCTCATCTATGATCATGGAGGTGGAATCCTTGCCTTGGAATGTACGAGATGCAGTGTTGCCAAGCGAACCAATGATGCAATGTTGCAAAATTTGCGGCGATCCTTATTTCACACATCAGACAACAAACTGGTGCTACTAAACGAAAATAACGTGCTAAATCGCCATGTAAAGCTAAACGTCTGTCCCGTGTCTCTGTGACGTCACGCGTGCGAAAGAGGTAGACTGAAGCTCCAGTAATAGTATGATGGAGCAAGCCTAAGCCTTAGATGTTCAGTAGTGCACTGTTTAACTAATCCAAAAATACAAAAGTTTGATTTTCAGCATCGGAATCCAAGTGGTACGACTGGTGGGTAGGGAAAGGGCCCTTCGGCCAGTACTAGAGGCGCTTTTCCATCGAATGTTGCTACTACCGAGTCCTCAAAAACGGTTAGAGCCTCTAAAAGCTGCTAGAGAGCTTCTGAGATCACCAGGCAGACTCTCGGACCTGCTTTTACTCAGCGGACCAATTCATAGGCATGCGGGAGACGATATGGCTATAATAAGACTGTAAGTATACATATATCCATGACGCATGCCGATGAAAAGACTAGGTATATCCGATCTCTTTTTTTCTTTGTTTGTTAAGAACTAATGCTACTATTGCTCTATGTTTATAAACAAAAATGAAAAAGAACACTCAGTCTGTTAGAAATAAAATCAAAACTATAAAAAACTCTTATCTCACAGGCAATTCCTTTGGTCTATGTTTTGGATCAGTTCATATGGTATTAGGATTACAACTGAACCGAACGTAATCTAACTGATGAAACAATTTCGCAGGAAGTACAGATCTACTTGACGACACTTTTACCTTTCAGGATAATGGACTCCATTGAAGAATCTTCCCAATGCAGTGATACAAGTGTCTTATTAGCGAGTGTAGAATGTGTAGGCGCACTACTAGGTTCTTTAGAAGCTTTGTGTAGAGGAGAAGGCTTAAACCAAGAAGCCGCTGACATCGCCAATTCCAGATATCCTACTTTGGAACAGGCTGATTACACGGGACCTTTGACCTACCAGTCACTGGCCAGGCTACCAAAACCATATAGGTACTAGAGGAAAGCAGAATGCGCAAAGTACTTTGTCGCTTGTTGTTGGGAGCGCAAATAACTATGCTGCTCGTAACACCGAGCGGTAAAGTACTTTGCGCTCTGAGTAACCAAAATTTGCAACGGGAGCGATATAAGCTAGCATGTTTTTTATCTCTAGGGATGTTGTGGCGAACCTAAAGTACCAAAGCGATTCAGATAGCAGCGGGATAGAAGGAAACGTGCCAGATGTTGAAGGTGGTACCGAGTCAGACTGTTCAGGAGCCACCGAAGGGCCAGAGGATGGTACTTTATCAGACGACAGTATTATGGATGACGATAGTTTCTTAACGAATCAGCAGCTGCAGAAATTGTATAAGCTACCAAAGTCTCTTAACGTGGTAAGTATTGAGACGACAGAGGAATCAGACGGTGGACACTACAAATTTTTGTTCTTGATTCATTATTTTATATTATTAGAAATTACAACACATTGCATTTTTACCGCATGGAAGTCACGTCTGATACGGAAATACCTCGCACGGAGGAACGGTAGGTTCCTACCGCATGGAAGTCACGCCTGATTTGGAAAAACCTCGCACAAGGAACGGTAGCTTCCTACCGCATGGAAGTCACGCCCGTGTTCATGATCAACGGAACGTTAGCTTCCTACCGCATGGAAGTCACGCCCGTGTCCTTGATCAGGGGAGTGGTAGCTTCCTACCGCATGGAAGTCACGCCTTATATGGAAATACCTTGCACGGGGTAACGGTAGCTTCCTATCGCGTACGGGTCACGCCCTTGCCCATGATCAGGGGAACGGTAGCTTCCTACCGCATGGAATTCAGACGGAGGAAACTACAAATTTTTGTTCTTGATTGATTATTTTATAAAAATTTCAGGGTCGAACTGGAGTAGAAGAATGCAACACTGACGTCGAAAGGCACAACGCGCGACATTTCGTAAAAACACTGCAGCATATTCTGTTGCCAAATTTGATGACATTGAGGTCTTCTATTCAGGTAAAAGCTTTTACTTCATCCAATTTAAATTATTTTAAGAAAAGAAACCGTACTTGCGCGGTTATCACTAATAACCTAAAATGACAAATTTTTATGTTGTTCCACGTGTTACGAAATGGAACTTTTACCAACGATTTTTTTCACATTAATTGCAGGTAGATGAAGTATTACAAGAATTTTCTTCTAAATGTTGTCAGCATATTTCTGCTCAGAGCTACGAAATATCCACAATTATGAATGCTGACGGAATATATTTAGCAACATATTCAGCTCTACTGTTGGACTTGAAGTTGATTCAATCTGGACATTACGAAAACAACAAGGTAACTTTTAGTTGAAGCCACTAATGATATTCGCCCTATAAGATTATATTGGACCAACAAATAAGATATTATTTGATTGAGAACAATTTGTTACCAGACTATCAATCAGGATATAGTTGTGGAACTACACTGTTAAATATAACCGACGATATCTTCAAAGCAACAGCTTCCGAGCTTTTTCTAGATTACAATATTTTCTCGTCCAGTAAAAAACAAATAAACAAGGTCGTATGAAACATTGCTGTACCCCATTCGTAGTCCATTTACGCCCAGACAAAACACAACGTCCAAAAGCGAAATTGTACAGGTCCGTATCTTCCTCGATGGTCTTGGAATAATCTAACAAAATAAATAATTATTTTTATAGAAAGAAATGCACATACTTTTCACAATCTTTTATTCGCTGGAAGTACTTAAATCATCGTCCGAACGGTTTGTATTGATTATTACAGGTTCAATTTGAATATCGATCGTATTGTCCATATAGTAATAAATCTTTCTGCCCTGGTCGCGGTATTTCTTTATTGATTTTAAATATTTTCTTCTCCATAAAATAATCTCTTGGCTGTCCATCAAAATACTATTTCTCTTATAAACGTTAAGGACAATTTCTTCTACCTGAATATTCAAATGTCCCTTGTTGCCACGTTTACGGGGAGGAGGAGGAGAGATCGCTGAAGAGGAAGCATGACTGAAGGAAGCATTGGAAATATTCTCAATTTCATCTGCTGTATGTGTAGACGACATGCTAGCGTATGCACCGAATATGAACAGCAACTGCCGGCGATACCCCGAGCCTGAGTTCTATCCTGTCGAATCCTGCACTTGTTCGAAGTTTTATCGCCGAACGACCAATAGCTATTGCAACGCTTAGGCGTCTGCCGCTTTGCCGCGCTGCATCTTTGTTGTACCGGGGCGTAAATGGACTACAAATAGGGTACAGACCTCAATTATTTTTTAATTCCAATCATTTTAATTTTTTAGATTCCAGTACCGATCACAGAAGCCCAATTCGTAGAAGAGATTCACGGAAGTGGAGTATTAGTTTACGTTTCGGCAACCTGGTTGTGTGAACTCTACCAAAACGTTATAGCCAAATCATTACTGCTTTCAGCTGGATACGAACCAAAAAATTCGCACCAACCAGCATTGATCAGCTTATTAACAGGTGAATGACTTCATAAAGTGATCAAGTCATGATCTAGATAGTCGAATTTAAGACATTTTCCGTATTTTCGTATTAAGATACGACGATAATAATGATTATGAACATGAGAAAACAGCAATCCCCCCATACAAGCGTTGCGAAGTACTACCATGTACATTTTCAGTTTCATTACGAGGGTACTACATAGACAACTTATCAAAGGCTTCAATGTCAGTATAATTTCAAAGCCACTTGGTGGGAGCCAAGCCCATTTTTGGAAAAATCCTTTTGAGTACCTTCCATATTCTACCGACGCATGACATGCACAACTCTACTGTCTATTCATTATGTTAATTAGACGTTTTGAAACTGATCATAAAACAATATAATAATGGCCATGATATTCCTCAACTACATCATTAGAAATTATACCGCATGAAAACCACGCTCGTCCCATGATCAGGGGAACGGTAGCTTTTTACCGCATGGAAGTCACGTCTGATACGGAAATACCTCGCACGGAGGAACGGTAGCTTCTTACCACATGGAAGTCACAACTGATTTGGAAAAACCTCGCACAAGGGACGGTAGCTTCCTACCGCATGGAAGTCACGCCTGATATGGAAATACCTCGCACGGGAGAACGGTAGCTTCCTATCGCATGGAGGTCACGCCCGTGTGTATCATCAGGGAAACGGAGGCTTCCAACCGCATGGAAGTCACGCCTGATATGGAAATACCTTGCACGGTGAACGGTAGCTTCCTACCGCATGGAAGTCACGCCTGATATGGAAATACCTCGCACGAGGAACGGTAACCTTCTACCGCAAGGAAGTCACGCTCGTGTCTATGATCAGGGAAACGGTGGCTTCTTACCGCATGGAAGTCACGCCTGATATGGAAATACCTTGCAAGAGGGAACGGTAGCTTCCTATCGCATAGAGGTCACGCCCTTGTCCATGATCAGGGGAACGTTAGCTTCCTACGGCATGAAAGTCACGCCTGATATGGAAATACCTTGCAAGAGGGAACGGTAGCTTCCTATCGCATAGAAGTCACGCCCTTGTCCATGATCAGGGGAACGTTAGCTTCCTACCGCATGAAAGTCATGTCTGATATGGAAATACCTCGCACGAGGAACGGTAACCTCCTACCGCAAGGAAGTCACGCTCGTGTCTATGATCAGGGAAACGGTGGCTTCTTACCGCATGGAAGTCACGCCTGATATGGAAATACCTTGCAAGAGGGAACGGTAGCTTCCTATCGCATAGAGGTCACGCCCTTGTCCATGATCAGGGGAACGTTAGCTTCCTACCGCATGAAAGTCATGTCTGATATGGAAATACCTCGCACGAGGAACGGTAACCTCCTACCGCAAGGAAGTCACGCTCGTGTCTATGATCAGGGAAACGGTGGCTTCTTACCGCATGGAAGTCACGCCTGATATGGAAATACCTTGCAAGAGGGAACGGTAGCTTCCTATCGCATAGAGGTCACGCCCTTGTCCATGATCAGGGGAACGTTAGCTTCCTACCGCATGAAAGTCATGTCTGATATGGAAATACCTCGCACGAGGAACGGTAACCTCCTACCGCAAGGAAGTCACGCCCGTGTCCATCATCAGGGGAACGGTGGCTTCTTACCGCATGGAAGTCACGCCTGATATGGAAATACCTTGCAAGAGGGAACGGTAGCTTCCTATCGCATAGAGGTCACGCCCTTGTCCATGATCAGGGGAACGTTAGCTTCCTACCGCATGAAAGTCATGTCTGATATGGAAATACCTCGCACGAGGAACGGTAACCTCCTACCGCAAGGAAGTCACGCTCGTGTCTATGATTAGGGAAACGGTGGCTTCTTACCGCATGGAAGTCACGCCTGATATGGAAATACCTTGCAAGAGGGAACGGTAGCTTCCTATCGCATAGAGGTCACGCCCTTGTCCATGATCAGGGGAACGTTAGCTTCCTACCGCATGAAAGTCATGTCTGATATGGAAATACCTCGCACGAGGAACGGTAACCTCCTACCGCAAGGAAGTCACGCCCGTGTCCATCATCAGGGGAACGGTGGCTTCCTACTGCATGGAAGTCACGCCTTATATGGAAATACCTCGCACCGGGGAATGGTAGCTTCGTACGGCATGGAAGTCACGACCGATATGGAAATACCTCGCATGGGAGAACGGTAGCTACGTACCGCATGAATGTCACGTCCGATATGGAAATACCTCGCACGAGGGACGGTAGCTTCCTACCGCATAGAAGTCACGCCCGTGTCCATGATCAAGGACCTTAGCTTCCTACCGCATGAAAGTCACGCCCATGTCCATAGCCAGGGGAACGGTAGCTTCCTATCACATGGAAGTCACGCATGATATGGGAATACCTTGCACGGTGAACGGTAGCTTCCTACCGCATGTTCGTCATGTCCGTGCTCATGATCACGGGAACGTTAGCTTCATACCGCATGGAAGTCACGCACATGTCCATAACCAGGGGAACGGTAGCTTTCTACCGTATGGAGGTCACGCCCGTGTCCATGACCAAGGGAAGGTTAGCTTCCTACCGCACGGAAGTCACTCCCGTGTCCATGATAAGGGGAACGGTAGCTTCCTTTAGGACACACAGTCCTTCGCTTAGGATTTAAGCATACAGCCGCCTATGTTGATATCCAGGTGTATGGACAGATATGATGAGTTTAACGATTGTTACGAAAAGCAGCGATTGTCAAGAGAAGATAGTTAAGCGGTCATTCAGACCTAGGATGACATTTCGGCCAACGGCCACCGTGTCAACATCCCAACCGCTCCGACATTTCCCCTGATAGACGAAATCGAGCAGTAATTAACATGGCTACCTGAATCCACGGATCGGGCTTCAAAAGTCCCATAATAACCCCCAGAGACTGGACGCTTCATAACTGTATGTATATGTTAATTTCCCTATCCTTATCGACAATTATACTCAGTGACATTAGAAGTCTTACACCCAGAAAAATTTATTTCTTTAACTTGTTTTTTGACAACATAAGGACTATATTTAAAGCATACCGTGGCATCAATGTCAAGGTTTTATCTTTGTTTATGTTCATATTGGTTAAAATGTTATCTCTTAGTTTTTGTGAAGAAAGCAGTTTCTGAGAGCTGAGTAGTACAGATATTTTTAGCTATTGCCTTTCGATTTACGAGTATTAAGCATAACGAGATGTCTCGAGTTCGAAAACGTCCAAGTTATCGCCATGTTAGCGACTTTGACAGGAGTGGAATTATTGCTTATCGAGATGTTGGTTTGTCCAATTGCGAAATTGGCCGCCGCGTTCAATGTACTGCAATGACGATAATGCGTGTGTGTCGTGTGCGGATGGAAGAAGGTAGAGGAACACGACGAAGGTCGACTGCTCCTCCAAGGCGTACCCCAGAGCGTCATACAACTAGCCTTATGAGACTGTTTTGCTACTAGGTGTCAGATCTCTGACCAATGTTATTATGCGTACACTCTATCGCCGCATTCGAGCCTTTGAACTTTTTTCATACCGTCCACGGTTAGTGCTTCCTCTGAATACGGGCCTCGGACGTCAACGTGTGAACTGGAGTAGAGAACGGCAACATTGGGAGGCGGAATGGCGTAATGTCATCTTCAGCGACGAATCGCGATTCTGTCTCGGTATGCACGATAGTCGCAGAAGGGTAAGACGCCGCCGTGGAGAACGGCGTGACCTTGAATTTGCTTTTGAGAGGCATGTATACAGGACTGTTCTAGTTATGATTTGGGGGCCTATTCACCCTTTCTCTTTGTCCTGCCATGAATAGAAATATGGATCTACGACCAACGCATCTGTATAAATATGGTAAACGACATTCTTGATCATAAATACAAGAGTATAATGGCTATATGTGAATGCTCACCTTTCAAAAGACTACACCCAATAGCACTGCGACACTGTAATTAGCTTCACGACGAGTACTACTTGATCTGAGATGCGACCTTTAACCCGCTTGCGTGTATATGAAAGCTTATTCTGCTAACAAGTGCCCAGACGAGAAAAGAAATGTATATAACATAAACAGTCTTAAGGGCCGTTCGTGCTGAATTACATTAACGAGATTTGTAAACCTTTTAGATAGATTTCGGGTTGAACTCGTATACAAAATGTGATTGAGATACAGCAGACGCTCGATAATGTAAACAAATTTAATCCAAGTGTGGTTCACATTATCGAAATGTTTACATTAGCGAACGTGATCTATATAATATTTGATTTATTAAAAGAAACGTTTAATACATACTATTTATAACAAAATAAACAAATATTCTAACAGCGATAAGTATTTTTTTAATTAGAAGAAAAATAATTAACAATTTTTGTCTGCGTAAATTTGCGCTTAGCATTGTCTTCCAATGCCTGCGCCCGTAATTTACGAAGAACTAAAATATCCGTGTATGAAACTTCTTTTCTTTCAGCCCAATCTAACGCTTGGTTAAAAACTTGTATAGCTTGCGCGTCAGTCACTACACTTCTGACTTCAATGAGATCGTTCTCATCATCCTCACTGTCGATATCCTCCTCCTTATCAGCATCATTCGTCTGCTTATCTTCGTTCCATAAATTAATATCAGCAGGGGTGCAAACAATGATGGGATTCACTGTTTTCAATAAATCAACAACATCCAATGACACACTAATAACATTATCATTAGTGGATCGCAAACGTTCTCTAATTACGCTTAAGGGGACATCGTTTTCTTCATAATCTTCATTATTGGTACAAAAGAGATTGTTCCAACATTTCATTCCAGGCCATTTGTAAATCTAAAACAGCTTCTCGTAATGTTACTTTTTTTAAAGCCTCAGATAAGTTTTCAGGATTCTTTGATAAGACAGACGAAAGTAGAAACTTCCTAAAGTATAGTTTGGTGAGTGTTATTATATTCTGGTCCATCGGTTGAATTAACGGCGTTACGTTGGGCGGCATGTACATGACGAAAATTGACCCATCCATGCTCCTCAGTTGTTGCTCGGGAGCATGACTTGGTGCATTATCCAATAGTAACAACGCTTTTATTGGAAGCTTCTGTTGTTTTAGGAAACCTTTTACCTACAAATTGAAAACACATCTTCAAATTATGAATAGAGCATTTGTGATAATTGATTGTCATACCTGAGGGACAAAGCACCTGTGGAACCATTTCAGGAATATACTGCTAGTCATCCAAGCGGTTTTTGAACAGTCATAATCAACAGGGATATTGACATTTTTAAATGAGCGCGGATTTTATGCTTTCCCGATTACCAGTGGCTTTATTTTGTGTGAACCATTAGCATTAGTGCAGGCTAGAAACGTTATTCGTTGTTTCTCCGGCTTTCTTCCCGGGGCAGATTTTTCAAATGATGCAGCATAGGTTTTCTCTGGTAATATTTTCCAAAAAAGGCCACTTTCATCTAGAGCTACAATATAATCATGATACATTCACTTTCACCGATGGAATCAAAATTTTAAACATAATGATCCAAATTAACCATAACAAAATTGAGGTATCTGCAATTTATCGTCCGCCATGTTCAGAACCCCACGAGTTTTTGAAGAATATCGAATTTTTTTTTCAAAATCAAAATAAAGTTCATTTAAAGCAACATATTTTCTTGGGAGATGTCAATATAAATATTTTGGACAATGATCCCATCACAAATGAATACTTGAATATCCTATCAAGTAACGGATTTCTGTCCTATATAAACCTACCTACAAGGTCCATCAGTGGCACATGTATAGATCACTGCTTTGTGAAAGACCTATCCAACAAAATTACTTGTATACCAATAACCCAGAAAGCGATATTACTGACCACTTCTCCACTATTTTACTGATATCTTCAAATGAAAAACTTTCTAACATTCCTACCGTTAATAACAACCACGAAAATTACAAATTTTTTGTCGACAATTCAAAACTAATATCAAATATCAAACAAGAATCCTGGGAACAATTATACTCTATAAATAATATAGACAAAGCAACGGGACTGTTCATAGAGAAAATAAAAAAACTAATAGATATTAGTACCAATAAAGTAATAATTAGTCACAAAGAGAAAAGCAGAAATGCCTGGATTACCAAAGGATTAATAACATCGGCAATAGAAAAAGAAAGACTATATAATGTAATGAAACTAACGCCAACTACAGAGAATACCGACTGTTACAACCAATATAAAAATAAATTTATAGAGCTTGCAAGGCAAACCAAACGAAAACATTACCTAAATAAATTGAATAATAACTTAAATGATCCTATGCGGCTTTGGACAACTATTGATGAGATTACTGGGAGAACAAAATTTAAAGAGTGTGTCACTGAATTAAATACAACATCAGGGACAGTATTAAAAAATACTCAACAGATATGCGATGAATTTGTACAATTTTTTACTGACATAGGCGAAAATTTAGCAAGTAATATACAAGCAAATGTACAAAATACTCAGCCTCCAAAAAGAACTTTGAACTCATTTATTTTGGACAAAGTCGAACAATGTGAAGTATACACCACTGTTATGTCCTTAAAAAATCGGAAAAGTCCTGGGTTCGATGGTATTAAAAGCGAGCATTTGAAAATTATAGCCGAGGACATAACAGAACCACTCACTTACCTAATCAACAAATGCTTTGAATCTGGCATATATCCCTCAATTTTAAAAAAAGGTAATATAATACCGATACATAAATCAGGAACAAAAACAGATGTTAACAACTATAGACCAATATCAATAATATCCAGTGTAGCAAAGGTTTTTGAAAAAGTTTTATCTACTAGAATGATTCGATACCTCACAAAATTCAAAATTTTAAGTGAAAATCAATATGGATTTACAGAAGGGAACGCTACATCGGACGCAATAACTAAAATTGTAAATCAAATATATCAAAATATTGATAACAGAATCCCTTCAATCTGCATTTTTGTTGATTTAAAGAAAGCTTTCGACACAGTTAATCACAAATTATTATTAGAAGCATTGGAGAGAAGTGGTTTCAGAGGAAACGCGTACTCACTGATCGAAAGTTATTTGTCAAATCGCCCACAATCTGTGCAGATATCAGGATCATTTAGTAAAGAAATGTATATTAAGTGTGGTATCCCACAAGGAACTGTCTTAGGTCCGCTGTTATTCAATATATATTTAAATGATATTTTCCAAATTAATTGTGTTGGCAAAATAACTAGTTTTGCAGATGATACTGCAATATTATATGAAGGCACTGACTGGTCTGATCTGAAAAATGTAATTGAAAATGATTTTATCAAAATTATTCGGTGGTTTAACAGTAGAAAATTAAGCATTAACTACTCTTAAATACATTTTTTACCATTTGGATCTTATGCTAGACATCTGCCAAATTACACAAATTTCTCCTTCAATATTAATGATCAAAAAATGCAAATTAATAGAGTGCCCAACATAAAATACCTTGGAGTGGTCTTGGATCCTCACTTACGATGGGACATCCATGTCAATTATATTTTAAAGAAAGTTAGATTTGTATCCTACAAAATTAAATACCTTGGGAATATATTGACAGAAAAATATCTTCAAACATTATACCATGCACTGATTGAGCCTCATCTCACATATGGTATATTAGCGTGGGGAGCTGCATGTTCCTCACATATTTATAATTTAGATGTTTTTCAAAAAAGTATTCTAAAAATGATATTTAAAAAACCGAAACTTTATCCCACTGAAAAATTATATGCAGATGTTCGAATGTATGATATAAGACAGCTCTATTTCTTACACAGTATCACTCACTACCATAAATTTGTAAACACCGACCAAAAAATTAAACGTAATCATTATACCAGATACAAAATTCGTAGCACAGTAGTTCCTCAACCGCATAAATCTATAATGCAGCGATCATATCTCTATTTAGCGCCTAAATTTTATGAAATTATGCCTAAAGACTTAAAAGATTTACGTTTCGGAAATTGTTTCAAAAGAAATTTAAAAAAGTGGCTACATTCTATATCTAGAACTGAAATTCATAAACTCATAAATACGAACATCAACTAAATACATAATCTACTGTAGCTAATTTTTGTCCTTTTTTGTCATTTGCATTCTACAGTTTCAACTTAAATTATTGGTCCATGTACAGGCGATGCCTTCTATTGGGCCTGTTTTGATTTTATATTTATTTACTCATATTGTTTGTTATCTTTGTACATTGAGTAAATAAATATTATTATTATTATTATTATTATCTGCGTTGTAAATTTGTTCCATTCTTAAATCTACCTCGATAATTGTTTTCATCAATTTTTCTTTGAATGGTTGCACTAATTGTGATTGTGCTGATAATTTTTCACCAGATATAGACAGCAGTCGAATTCCATATCTTGTTTTGAATCGATGTAGCCAGCCATCACTAGCTACGAAATTTTCAGTTTCTTTCAGTTAACAGTCTCGCTCTCTGTTTAAGTACTTCGCCACTAACTGGGACATGATTTTCCCGTTGTTTTAAAAACCACTTATACAGGGAATTTTCCATTTTAGGTGCCTTCGCATTTTTTAAAGTTTTTCTTTTTCCGGACCTCCAAATGTATTGCACGTTCTTTGTAAAATTTGAGTTTTCATACGCTTAATTTTACAGATTGTTGCTTTTGATACTCCATATTTTTTTGCTAACTGTGTCACTCCCGCACCTTGTACAACTTCGTCTATGATTTTCACTTTCTCACTCAACTTTAAACACTTTCTTTTATAGGATGTGGATACCATAGTCATAAAATATATTAACGCGTGCAATGTATTCACTTAAGTCGAAAAATGAAATACATACGTACGTATAAACGTATCCTAAACGATCATACGGCTAACCGAGTTTTTCGCATTTTATCGCAGAGGTGAATCCCCTACATCATAAATCGGGGACTCCCCGACGCCCGACATAAATCATCGAGGCTTCGGCATTTTACCGTCGCGCTGTTTCCGTGCGCCGAGAGTTGTTTACGTTATCGAGCGTACACATCGTTTACGTTATCGCGCGTTCCGTTTGATCCCATAGCACGAAGTTTGTGTTTACATTAGCGCAAGTTTTCATTATCCCGTGTTTACGTTATCGAGCGTCTGATGTATTTCACGTGCTTACAATTCGCTCGTCTTTCTGAAATAGATAGTGGAAAAGAGTTTTGATATCCTACAAGTTCGACTCACAACAGCTACGTTGAAACAATAAAAAATTCTAAATCTTTCTCTATTCTAGACGTGGGAGGTCTCTGTCCCTCCCAACTGCTCTCCGACTGGCAGAAACTGCAGAAAGTTCACTCGGGCACTCCTGAGAGTTGCCCCGAGGTAGAAGCGGGCGTCAAACTATCAAGAAGGGTGCTTACCTGCTGCTGGACCTCCGTAGTTTCGGTCCTGGGCACTCCGTTAGGGGATAAACCCCATCTTGCGGGCACTTCGGCACTCAGCAGGCTTGTGGCAAGAAGGGCTAGACAAAAGCACAGGCAGAAGCTGAGGGACGACGTCATCACTGCTAGTCTGGAAGGGTTGCATAAGGTGAGTGTTCACATTTTGGTTTCAAGGCATGTTATATTCGAAATCGTCACCTCGAATTACCTAGGTTTGTCGAATTGTATCCGTTTATAATAATAATAATAATAATGCCTTTATTAGCTGCAGTGAGGCGAAGTGTAGCCAGACGGCTACTCTTACACTCAACCCCACAACAGGAAAAAAGAATACTTACACACATAAACAAAATAATAACATACCAAAAAAAAAATACAATTCATAAGAATGACAACAATGATTGCACGAGATAAATGCAGATAGCATTGCGAGAGTTCTAAATTTGAAACAAAAATACTAGAAAATAGTCAAACAAAAAAAAATCACATGAGCACAAGAAAAACTGAACTAAATGGACTCCAACAGCTGACTTTTCATTAATTTCTTAAAAGAAACAACCGGTTTGGATCGATAGCCACTGTTGACTGCATTGTAATGCTTGACAGCATTATAGGTGTAACTTCTTTCGAAGACCGAGGTATTGTGAGGAGGCATGTTAAAATTAGCATTAAATCTAATAGCTCTGGTAACAAAACTACCTCGGTGAACTAATTTGCTAGCGAGGTAAGCTGGTCTGTTAGATAATAGAACTTTATGCGTGAAGACGGTCAAAAGATATAAAAATAACTTATCAATTCGCAACCAGTTGAGTTCTTTGATTTTATCTGAGACTACAACAGCTGTTCTGAATTTTCTGGAGTTTCCTTTTGTGGACGTAGTCTAAACATGGGTAATACAGAACAAGAGAGTAAGAAATGACAGACAACACAAGACTTTCAGCGAGCTTTTTTCGGGTTTTAAAATTCAAGATGTATCGATTAGAATAGAGGATTTTCAAACGCAAATACGTTACTCTAGATAAGAAAGAGACATGCCGATCGAATCTCATATTTAAGTCAAGGGTAACACCGAGATTCTTGGCGTAATCCACAAAAGGGATGAGTGTCTCATCCAAAAAAACACAAATCCTCTGCTTCATTTCACGGTAGGAGTTCTTCGAACAGTACAACATTGCAGTAGTTTTATTAGGATTGATCTTCAAGCAGTGTTTGTTACAGTAATCACCGATGTTAGCCAAATCTTTCACTCAGAGGAGATGGTTCATACTATAATCAAGAAGACTAATATCCTAAAAAACAATGAAAAATATAAAAATACATCGGTTGCTTTTGATAAAACTCCAAAACAGATGGAGCTCTATCGCTACTTAAAGAGCAAACTGAATGAAAGGATCGCGCAAGGTGAAAGTAACCTCAGAATTAAATATTTCAATGGGGTTCCGAAGATTGTTACTTTAAACGCATAACTGAACCCAATAATAGACCAAATTGTCATGAGAGACTTCAGCTAAGGTGTTCCTACCAGAACGTTCGTGGTCTCAATTCTAAGACGGTGTCATTCTTCAATGCAGTCAGTGACTACGAATTTGATTTAATTTGCTTGACTGAGACGTGGCTGTCTGTGAATGTGAGTGATAGTGAATTATTTCCGGCTGAATACTGTGTGTTCAGGTGTGATCGTGACTTTATTCGATCTGGCTTAGTTTCCGGCGGAGGAGTCCTGATAGCCATAAAACGCGATTTCCATGCAATTAGAATTGACGCTAGTGCTTTGAGTCGAAACTTTCCGTCGATTGATACTGTATGTATTAGGCTTATTATTAACTATGAGCATTTTGTTATCTTTTCTATTTATATTCCGCCTTCAATTAATTTGGACATGTTTAGTCAGTACCTTGAAGCTTTGGAAGTATTTAACAATGCATTCAGTAATTGTAAAATAATTGTTGCTGGTGACTTTAATGTCGCATCATTCAACAGTGACGTTAATGATCAGAAGTCTCAATTAATGAGCAACTTTATTTCGTTTTTAGATTTAACTAACTTTAATAATATTCCAAATATAAATGGTCGAATTCTGGATTTAATTTTAGGAAATATCGAAATAGAAGTCCTCAGAGATAATACACCTTCTGTTAAAGAGGACGTTCATCATCCTGCACTGATCATGGAATTCATTACATCCGGATCTCCAACGAAATTCCCATTTGCTAATTCTCCACGGTTTAACTTTCGCAAAGCTAACTTTCCTGAAATGTACACAGCCTTGCAAGATGTTAATTGGACGGAGCTGATCAGTGCAGTTAATGTTGATGTCGCTTGTACCGCCTTGTATTCAGTTATCAATAACATCTTTGAGGTCCATGTCCCTAAATGTAAAAATAAAATGTTTTCGTATCCCCCATGGTTCACACGTGAAATTATACTTAATATCAAGAAGAAGGACCTAGCAAGAAGGAACTGGAAACGTGACGGTACTAAGTTTTCTTATGATCAGTTCAGTAATTTTAGGAAGCTCATTAAGAACCAGATCAGTGTTGCCTACTCCGCTTACGTCCAATCGGCTGAGGATGCCATTGTCAATGATCCTAGCAAATTCTGGTCATTTGCCCAGATCAAAAAACAGCAATCTAGAATCCCCCCCAGGATGACGCTTAACGGCAATGTCTGCGATACGCCTCAGGATATAGTGGACAGTTTTGCTACCTTCTTTTCAACAGTTTTTATCCCGTCTGGTGTACTAGGGTCATCTCCTCCAACAAATAATTCTACCGATATCATTTCTTTAAAAAATATAAGTGAAGAAAACGTAATTAGGGCTTCGAAAAGATTAAAGAACAAAATGACGTCTGGATGTGATGGTATTCCAAGTTTTTTCGTTAAAGATTGCATTCATATACTAGCGAAACCGCTAGCTTCCATATTCAACCTAATTCTAAAATCAGAGACATATCCAAATATCTGGAAGACCTCTAAAATATGTCCTATTCACAAAAGTGGAGATATCTCTGATATTACCAACTATCGCCAAATAGCAATCCTGTGCAATTTCAGCAAGTTGTTTGAGATCATCGCTTATGAAACGGTTTACTGCTCGGTCAGGGGTGCAGTCTCTATTAATCAGCATGGGTTTATGAGAGGCAGATCTACGGTCACCAACTTGGCTCTAATTACTCAATACATTTCTGAAGTACTGGACGGTCAGGGACAAGTTGATGTCATCTACACAGATATTCAGAAGGCTTTTGATCAAGTTGATCATTATGCACTTCTGGATAAGCTTAAAACAGTGGGTATGTCTGATGCAATGCTGTCGCTCATGAATTCATATTTGAGGGATAGAAGGTTATTTGTCGAATATGGTGGTCATAGGTCGAGTTACTATCGGGCCACGTCTGGGGTACCTCAAGGGTCAAATCTAGGTCCATTATTGTTTTTAATATTTATTAATGACTTGTCTTTTGAACTGAAGTGTTTCCATTTGTTTTTCGCTGATGACCTCAAAATCTGCACGTCAGTCAAGACAGTCGAGGATTGCGCCATGTTGCAAGATGACTTAGCTCTAATTTCGTCATGGTGTTCACGAAACTGTCTCAGTCTGAATGTTTCGAAATGTAAAGTTATGACTTATACAAGAAAAGTGAACTATTTAATTTATGATAATTATAACATCAATGGTCAGGTTATAGACAGATGCACCTCTTATAGAGACCTTGGAGTCATATTTGATACCAAGCTAACGTTTACTGAGCACATACTCAATATCTCGTCGGCTGCCACTCGACTACTTGGTTTCTGTATCAGAAACTGGAAGGGTTTCTCCAATGTTGATACATTAATAACTTTATTTTTTACTTTTGTCAGGAGCAAGTTGGAGTATGCAACTCTGATCTGGTCTCCTATATACCAAAATTCTGTCGTGATCCTTGAGGCCATTCAACGTAAAGCTTTAAAGTATTTTCACCTTAAATGCACAGGTTCTTATCCAGAAAGAGGTTGTGATCATAGTGCCCTATTAGAGTCTTTCAATTTGGATTCACTGTCAACAAGACGAAACATATTTGCTTTGTCGTTTTTGTATGGCCTCATTCACAACAAAATTGACTGTCAAAATTTACTTGAAAAAATATGTTTCCGCGTTCCAAGGCTAGGGAGTCGACAACAAATGGCATTCTATTGTCAAGCTGGCCGTACAAATGTTATGACAAAATCGCCAATTAATTTCATGTGCTGCGTCATGAACAGTGTTACTGAATCGTGTGATATTTACAGTGACAGTTGTGCAACGATTATTAACTGTTATAGATCATCCAATCTTATTTAGAATGTGTGATACTATAGATTTAAGTCCAAGAACCATGTCTCTTTAATTGCTATTTTTTTCAGCGTTTCCTGTAATTGGGTTTCACCTGTTGGAAATAAATAAATAAATAAATAAATAAATAAATCTAAATTAACTTTAAAAGAAACTTCATCAACCTTTGATGGATCGAAACCAAACACTAACTGAGTATCATCTGCATAACTTTACATACTACAGTGGACTAAACAGTCTTGCAGATCGATCGTATAAATCAGATATAGTAAGGGACCTAATACTGAGCCCTGAGGAACTCCTGAAGGAACTGGCTCAGAGGAGGAAATTCCCTGATCAGTTTTCACTGTTCGTTGACGATTTAGCAAGTATGACTCAAAGAACCTTAGAACTATATCTGACATTCCATAATGAGATAACTTACTCAGCAGTATCTGGTGATTGACCATATCAAAGGCTTTCGAGAAATCTAACAGTACCAAGACGGTGTTGATGTGATTATCTAAATTGTGAATGATGGAATCAGTAAGATGTAATAAAGACGAAGTAGTGCTGTAACCAGCTCTGAAACCTGACTGATGTAGAGGAAATAAGTGGTTTTGTTCGAAAAATTCCACTAGTTGTGAGTAGACAGCTCTTTCGAGTATTTTTGATAGTAAGCATAATAAGGTAATTGGCCTGAGATCCGAATATTATTCTGGATGATTAGTTTTAGCTATTGGAATAATACCATTTTTCCAACTGGCAGGAAAGTAACCTGTTTCGAGACAGACATTAATAATGTGAGTTATATGGTCTATGGTATCAGGCAAACATAAGCAAACCATATTTAA